AATGTTTAACTGTAAGAGACTCTCTGCAAAAATTGCATTGTGGAGGTGCTTCATTTAAAATTAAATATTTGTGTATCAATCGGGTCTGCCCAATGCGCAGTCTGTTGATAAGAACCTGTGTTTTTCTATTTTAGTAAGAGAATGGTGCAAATGGCTTAGTGTCTGGCTTAATCTATCAATTGTAAACAGTTGTGTTTTTGAATTGGATATTCTAACCAACAATTTTAAATTCCAGGCTAGAATAAATAGTTTATTTAGATCGAAACAACACAAAAACAGACATTACAAACGATAAAGGGATATTCACCCAAAGACTCTGAAGAAGAATCATGGGTGATGTGATCATGCCGCTTCGTGGGTAAATCGTGCTTTACATGGTTAACTAGAATATTTAGTTTGAAACTTTTGGCGCAAGAGCCAGTTATGGCTATATCGCACTTACAATTAGATTTATTTTATTCAACTTGGTTTATTTTATCCAACTTAGTTATGGGTTAAAAGCTAGATTAAAGTATTGAAAGCGTTTTGTTTGAGGTATGAGAAAATGTTATCGCTGGGACTGTTTCCAATTAACGAAATCAATGCCAGATAGAAGGTACCAAAATGGTGTTGTCTGAGAAATTTGAGTAGTTAGTTTATAATTTTTGGTAAAAGAACCTGGTTTGATATTACAGCACCATGAATTTGATTTTGTTTGAAATTAATATTGTTTACAAGGCAAAATTCATTAAAAATAAGTGCACCTATGTCTAAAAGTCAACAAACATTAATATGTTGCTACTAAATGAACAATTAGTGACGAAATAAAGTGAAATCTAAAAATCTACCTTTCTTTCCTATTTTTTAATCAGGTTTTGTTATATTTGGTGCTTAAATTCATTAGTGATTGGTGCAGTATTGCCGCTTTCAGATATTTTGCTTTGGCATTTAAACTTTACATCCAAGCAATCAATCAATTGATAAAAAAAAAAGCTTGATGTCAATTACAAACTAACTAATCATATTGACAAAACTAATTTTTTTTCTATTTTGATTTCATTTATTTTTTCTAGTTTATCACGCCATTATAGGCATTACATATATCATTGCGTGTTACGAGCCAATTAATGTATATTATGTGACAAAAGTTTGTGGGATTAGTTTGTTTATAGTTTTGGTGCAAATCAGTTAAAGAGGAATTATAAGAGTGGTAACTAAGATTGGTAATATCTACACCCAGAACTTAGCTTTAAAATTGAAATAAATAAGTTATATTCATTAAGGTGACGTATATTCAGGTTGGTGAATATTTTTTGAGATACAATCTTTAGATTTGGAATGTATTTAAAGTTTTATGACATTAGATTCAGAACGTGGTCTAGAGATTATTACTATATGTTTTTATTAATAAATTGTGAATCCCGCTTTGTGACAATATCTGTGTCATTCATTTTTGTGTGAACTAAATAAATCTATATTTAAACATTTAAATTAAATTATAAAAATTAATTTTTTATTCAAATTAACACAAACCCCGATTATTCGAAGTTTGATATTTCTGCATTTTAGTTAACTGTAGCAAACTTTATTAATATATCGCTAATCAAGATAAGCACTTTTTACTAAGTATAACATGTTGATGTTTAAGCATAATTGGGTCTTTTTTTTTCTTTTTTTTTGTCTCGACGTTGCCTAACATTATTATGACATAGGCAATTTATCATAGCAAATCATAGGCAATTTATCATAGCATAGTTGATGTTATAGGCAATGTGACATAGGCAATGAAACAAATCGATTTTAAACTTTTTACTCAATATTTAAACAACATATTTCTATACTTTTATAAATAATAGAAGAAAACAAAGAGAAAACGCTAGAGTAAAAAAGAACTTCGTACAGTTTTCTGCGATCAGTTCACATGTTATGATGTTTTTATTTCGCCATATTTTTATTCCGAAAATCTTTCCTTACCCTGGAATCAATTAATCGCCTGTTCCTCCTTTTCATTTTGCAAAATTAGTTAGTTAAAAATTATTAGTTTGAGAGCCCAAAAATACTGTACCATGATAAACATTTGGTTGAAACTAAGTCTGGTTTAAATCACATGCAAAAAAAAGTACGCATTGTCTTTCAGATAATAGAAAGATTTCGATGTGAAGTCATTTTTCGACATTTTTTGTTCCAAACAAATAAAACATAGAATTACATAGCGTAAAGTCAATTCTTGACGTAAAATACACGATTTGGGCTGGAACAGCCTTGTTTGTAGGACGTTAGACTCGTTTTCGTGGTAACGGGAGTTCGAATCCAGCCGGCCGAAGAAACCCCGTGTATTAAATAGTGACTGGTACACGTTAAATCTGTCGGGGTCAAAAAGTTCCCATAACAAATCAATACCTCTGGGGGTACTGAAGATTGATCATTCTCTGGTTAAGGTCAATATTACGATGTGTGGATGTATGAATGGGTTCGCCCTGTAAAACGGGTTGTGACGTGTGTGTCTTGTTGAAATCGTATTCTTGGTCATAGATGGCCCCACTGAAAAATAAGAAACACACTCTCTACCTTTAATTCTCTTGGTTTCCCAAGCAGGCTTGCTGACATTTAGCAAGTGGAAATGGAAACAACAACAGAGACATGATTTGCTCATACAGTTCTAAAACTAGGTTTTAAATCAAAAACTAAAAATTAAAATCCATTAAACTAGAATAAAAATCAAGATAACTAAGTTAAAATTTTGTTGCTAAGTTATTATTATAGTAGATAAGATAAAACAGAAGCTGCTTGGTTAAAATAAGTATTAAATGGGACCCCAAAATCTGATGTCTTTACAATATATTAGTCCGATAAATATAATGCACTCGTGAATATTGAATTATATAGGAATCTGTGTATTGATTTCCAATGAAATCGTATACTTTGAATTAGTTTTGATTCTTAGCTAATAATATGACAATAATTATTTTCCCCAATGATTTAAAAAATAAAACTCTCAACAAGATAAAAATATATTCATTTTATTCTTCGTAAATGTTTTGCATCATTGATACAGAACGCAGAAACTCGATTCTCAGGGGATAAGTCTAAGTTAATATGATATATACTCAAATACGCTCTTCGGCAAACTGAAATTTTTATCTTTCAAGAAAAATGGAATACGGGATTTCAGACACTGACGTCAAAAAGAGAATTTTCAGTTGAATAAAATATTTTGTACTGCAAGATGCCAACTGAACAATACATAAAAAGAAATCATATTATTTTATTTTTTTGCTCAAAAAATACATACGGTGTATACGTATTACCTACATACATTAAAATTTGTAAATTCAACAATAGAAGTAAATTCAGCAATAGACTAAATATCAAGAATTATCATTAAAATATACCCAAGTTTATTTTACATTAATTCTTATACCATTTAGGTACGAGTAAAATGTTTTTGCTTTATAATTAGGTAAGTTAAATGCCAAAAAATACTTACCTTTTTACGCATTTGCGCAGCATACTTTAATGAAGGAAACAACGCAATTAATGCATGTTAAAGCAACGAAAGTGATCCTTTGTGATCTAATTGAAATCATTGTGAAACATAAAATTTCTATAAGGAATATTTTTATGAATTGAATATAGGGTTTGATGGCACAAGGTCTAAATAAGACATACCAATAGTGTTTCGAATTAAAATAAACAGGTTTGGAAAATTATAACATACTTTTTAGCTGTTAATGTAATGGCTGTATTACTAAAGAAATTTTTAAAAAAATGAAATTTTTCAATTGAGAATACATCTGAGTAGTGTAGGACGCATTTACGGTTTGTGAGAATAATATCGAGATTGGAAGAGTCATTTCTGTAAGTGTGCGTGACTAAAAAAAATTTATCAGGTAAAAATTTCATTAATACGAAAAGAAAGAATTTACTTTTGAAGTTAAAAGATTGATAATGTAATAAATGTAATTAAAAATATTCTCTCTAATAAATGACTTACCCGAAAATTGTTGCACTTTGTATGAGATACATAAAATCTTTGAGTTACTTATTGTAATTTAGATGTCATTGATTCAAAAGCCTAAATTAGCAATCGATTTCTGGCACTAAGTCAGTAATATTTATAAATAAATCACTTTTAATAAATCTCTTTTTTTAAAAATCATTTGATAGAGAATCCATTTTTTAAGATGATTGCTCGAAATTTTTTTTCAAATGCTCTTGTTTAATAAATTTAAAAAAATCTTCAGTTTGAATTCGAAAATTACTGTAAAAATGTAACAAAAATTTACAAAATTAAATAAATTCTTTTTTCAAAAAATCATTTTTGTCAACCAAATACGTAGAAACTCTGCGGTAATAGATTTGAGGAATGAAACAATTCATATTTTTTACTGCACTTGAAAATAAGCTAAAAACATTTTTTTCCGTTAAATATTTCCTAGTTACGAATAAATAACTTCTCAAAACAATGTTTGAAAAATTAGTATAAAGATCAAAAAATTAATTTTTTTGTTAGTAAATGGATTGAAAAAAGTTTTTATTTCTAGTCTTTTTTTTACATTTAACGATTTTCAAAAAAAGAAACGACAATTTGATGAATTATTTAAAGAAAAACGGTAAAAGAAAATAATATACGGTTTGATATGTTCTGCTGGAGCTTATATGTTCTGCTGGAGGAAACTGAAGCTTATTTTCATTAAGTTTTAAAGTTCGCTTCAAAGCTCATCATCAGAGGGCGCCACTAGCTGAGAAAAAGCGATAAAATGATTTTCAATACATGCCAGACCATTCCAACCAAAATATTTGCACCGGCGAAGCTAATTTTAAAACTCGATGGAAAACTTTTCTTACCAGAACATAGCAAATCATATATTTCTATCTCTTTTTAATTTCATAATTGCTTTCTTAAATCATCAGTGACTTGTAGAAAATATCTCTGTATTTTTATTATTGAATTTTCGAGAGAGAAAAATTTTCACTGTAAGATGTTTTCTACAACTAGCAAATAACTTTTTTTTTTTCAGTTGCAGTAGTGGTAGCCTTCTTCCTGTGTTGGGCTCCATTCCATGCTCAGAGACTAATGGCCATCTACGTTGTTGACCAAACACCAACTGTTATAACCATTTACACAGTTCTTACCCACATATCAGGAGTCACCTATTACGTCAGTGCGACCATCAATCCTATATTGTACAGTATCATGTCCAAGAAATTTCGCCACGCTTTTAAAAACACTCTTGCTCATTGCTGCAGAAGGAATTCAATGTATAACATGTCCTCTTCTCTAGGTTATCCATCCAATGTCTACAGATCGAATCACGGTACTCTGTCCAATAACAATTCGTTGCGAAAGAACAAACCACCAGTAAAGACATTCCCTTTGTTTAAAAATAATGACTGGAAAAGTTTAGCAGACAGCAATGGAGTACCAAATAATAACGAAATTAATATTCTTACAAGTGAGCAGTAAATGGACTTGTTTTTAAATAAATGTGATATATGTATTGTATTTAAATAAATTGTATTAAACAATTTCTACCGACATGTTTCGTTTATTTTTAAAATACGTATATTTGCTTTGGAGTTTTAAACAATAATTTAATTTTAAATCTGTAAATTGTTGGTGTTCTAGCAAAGCAATTGAATATAAAGGTCATAGGACAATAGGTTTTTTAGCAAAAGGTTTTAAAACAGACCGAAAAGGCCGCGGTAGCCCAGTGTTCAGAGAAATGGATTCCGATCCTGAGACGCGCTGTTCGATTCTCGACTCCGCTAACACCCACCGAGTACCGTGCTTGTGGAATCGAAAGTCATGTGGTCGGTCACTGAGCTGTACCATTGGTTTAGGGATCTGAAGAAAATTTCTTTCCACTTCAGATCTATGTCTAAATTGAGAAAGAGGTCTCACGGGTAAGTGGTGCTGTCATCTATCCATGGGGTTCTAAACTAAGACGCACATTCACCCTTGGGGTGCTCTCGGTCAAACGAAAGGCGCACTTTGCTCACTTAATTCACAGAAGGTCAATAGCCGGAGTTCTTGGTCTGTACAAATGCCATTAGAAACAACAATGAAACGGATCATAAGATAAAATAAAAATTAAAAGATTAGTCATAAAATACGCACAACGATACACATCAAAACATGAACTTTCAAAAGTCAATAACAAACCAAAATTAAATTTTGGGGAAATACATTTTTGTTGAGATTGTCAAAAGATTTGAGCGAGGTGTGCAACCAAATAATACAAATTAGTTAGGAAAATGTCAATTGAACTAACATCTCATAAGTTTTCTACATTTGTAGATAGATGTATTCTGTATCAAATCGATAATGATCTTTATAATCAGGCAAGATTTTAGATATTAAAAACTATTTTATAGGGATTCCACGTTAGATAAAAATCCTAAGATTAAAGAGGAAGAATAATAGAAAAATAGAGAGTGCTACTGCATTTATTCTTTTAAGGAACATTGTAAAATTGAAAGAGTCAACCATTACAATATGCTTGATATTTTTGGAATCTCTCTCTGAACTATTGATTATTATTATAACATTTACATAAAATGTAAATATTGTGATACCGACATCACTGCCTAAAGTTTACTTTCTTTAAGAGCTACAAACAAATTGTTAATAGATATTTCATGGTAAATAAGGAAACTAAAAGAAAATAGTTTTTAAATATGGTAAATCACATTATCGAATGATTTAAATGGATGATTTAAATCAAGATTTCAGTCAATTGAAATATTGAAGAAAATTCAAAAGATAAGAAGTCAAAAGAAAAAAAAAGGGTAATTAAAATATTAATTTGTTTTGTTTTTAAAAATTAAGCAAGTGGAAGACGAAAAAACAAACCTTTCTGAAGTAGTGGTTCTCAACTGGTGGTCCCCAAATCACTAATCTATCGTGAAAAAACTTCGAATAGCGTGCGAGGTACTAAATTAGTGCACAAGTTTAGTAAGCAATAGTTTAATGGTTTTTACTAAGTAATAAAAGATTCTTAAATGGATATATTTCATTTCATTAACAACACTAGCACTAAAGCAATCGGTATATATATACAAATGAAATAATTTATAGTATTGAATATCAAAATTGCACGATTTTAAAAAAGTACCCTAAAAAATTAGAATGTCTGTATTAAATCTCAATAAAAATTCATTCGTTTTGAAATAAAATTATCAAAGCTAAAAAAAAACAGCTAAAACTTTATGGTTCATATCTTTAGAAAATTGTCGNTATTGATTATTATTATAACATTTACATAAAATGTAAATATTGTGATACTGACATCACTGCCTAAAGTTTACTTTCATTAATGGTTACAAACAAATTGTTAATAGATGTTTCATGGTAAATAAGGAAACTAAAAGAAAATAGTTTTTAAATATGGTAAATCACATTATCGAATGATTTAAATGGATGATTTAAATCAAGATTTCAGTCAATTGAAATATTGAAGAAAATTCAAAAGATAAGAAGTCAAAAGAAAAAAAAAAGGGTAATTAAAATATTAATTTGTTTTGTTTTTAAAAATTAAGCAATTGGAAGACGAAAAAGCAAACCTTTCTGAAGTAGTAGTCCGCAAATCACTAGTCTATTGTGAAAAAGTTTCGAATAGCGTACGAGGATATTAGTGTATAAATTTAGTAAGCAATAGTTTAATGGTTTTTACTAAGTAATAAAAGATTCTTAAATGAAAATATTTCATTTCATTAACAACACTTACACTAGAGCAATCAGTATACACTCTATAACAAAAAAATCGACGCACCAAGAAGGAGTTGTCTGATTGAAACGAAAATTGTTGGATAGGAAGACAATGTACAGAATAGTAAATGATTGAAATTTCAGAACAATTGCATAATTTATTGCAGAGTTACAGTAACAAGTTCAATAAGGTGTTGACCCGCCTCCAGCCTGGATACAAGCTGCTACACGACGTGGCATAGACCAATAGAGCTCCCGGATGGTCTCTTGCGGTATTTCCTGCCAAATTCGATCCTATTGTCGAAAGAGGCCATCAACATTCCGTGCCAGGTGCAATCGCCTTCCCATCATATCCCAGACATGCTCGATGGGAGTGAGATCTGGTGATCTGGTAGGCCAAGGATGAGTTTGATAAGCTTGCAGACAGTTCATAGCAACACGTGCCGTATGTGGCCTGGCATTGTCCTGCTGAAAAACCAGCCCAGGGCGCTGCAAAAGGAACGGTAGCAAAACAGGTCTTAGGATGTCGTCGACGTACCGCTGTGCATTAAGTGTACCTCGAATGACGACCGAAGGGGTCCGGCTGTCAAAGGAAATGGCACCCCAGATCATAATGCCTTGTTGAGGGCCTTGTTGAGGGCCGGTGTGGCGTGCAACAGTGAAGGCAGGATCCCCCCTCTGCCCCGCGCGTCTCCAAACACGTCTTCGATGATCGTCAGGACACAGTTGGAAGCGGGATTCGTCGCTAAAGACTATACGTCCCCAGTCGGCAT